GTATTCTAATAAGTCGTATCATTTGAACATTTGATCTACGGAATCCTAATTTTCATATTTAAGATATTTTATGGACATTTTTACCCTTACAAATATTTTTTGAACGGTTAACAATTTAGTGATATAAACATTCATATTTTATAATACGACTATTCGCAGTGATGTGTGAATGTTTACATTGACAGTGTAAATATTCATATTAACATATTAACATTTACATTAATAATGTGAACATGCAAATTACGGAACATTTACATTGTAAATATGAATATTATTAGAATTATTTTAGTAACTATATCATTTACAAAATTTATTGGAATATAAGAAAATAATATAAATTAAATCAACATAATTAGGTGAAAAGTGAAAAATGAGTTACGAAAAAGTGCCCAATAATTAATTCTTCAAACGAGCACTATATATACATATATGCGTCTATATCTACTACCTTCTCATCAAGAGCGGCAGCGTTACGCCGGACGTACTTGTACAAGCCATGTTGTACGGCGGCGCGTGCGAGCTTCTCGGTGCTGACATTGGCGGAGCGGAGCAGAGAGAGTTGGCCGGGGAGGAGGTCAGGGTAAGCGAGGAAGATGAAATTAGAGATTGCGATACCTAAGGCGACGTCGCCGACGAACTCAAGCCTCTGGTACGACGGCGAATCGGTGTAGGAAGGGTGAGTCAGAGCTTCCTCCAGGAGCTTCTTGTCGTTGAATCGGTAGTTGAGAAGCTGTTCGATCGCTCGAACTGAATCGTCCATGTTCGTTATACACTCGTCAGCGATGGCGGCGGAGGAGTCCCCGGCGAATGTGCACGGAACAATCTCGAACATTCCTGATGTGTTGTTCATGGATTGAATCGCAAGGGTTTTAGAGACAGAATTTGGAGAAGTTGAATATGAGAGAGAGAGAGAGAGAGCGCGTGGTGTGTTGAAGTAATTCTGGTTACATGTAGTCAGGTGTCATGGTTGCGTGAACAATGAATTTGGAATAACTTGGTTCCATTTTTGAAATGAGAACGCGTCTGTTAAATTTTATGTTTGGATTGAGTGATTTGAAAGAAACAAAAAAGAAAAGAAAAGATAATATATGTATTTTTATTATTTATGAGAAAATAGAGAGGCCCTGTTTGTTTTCAGAAGTAGAATAGAAGGGATTGATAGTGAGGGGATTAATAGTGAGAAAATTGTTAGTGAGGGAATTAAGTAAAACTGTATTTATTTTGATGATAGTTGTTAGTGTGGGGATTGTTAAATTATTTTTATATAAAATAATAAAACAAATAAAAAAAAATACAAAAACATTAAACATTAATAATTTTTAAAAAAATGCTCAACATGTAAAAAATTTTAAAAATAAATAAATAAATAAAATAATGATTTTTACTTAACAAAAAATTAAACATTAATGTTCAAAAAAAAATGTCCGACATGTAAAAAATAAAAATAAATAAATAAATTTCTAGTCCGCCAGACTATTTTTTTAATACCAAGTCCTACAGGCCTATCCTAATCTCCTTCCCAAGGAGATTCGTAGTCCGGAGGGGATTACGAATCCCCTCTTCATCTCTCAAAACAAACATGATGTTAGTGGGTTATACCTCACTATGAATCTCAATCCCCTCCCTATAACCAAAAACAAACGGGGCCTTATAGTATTTATTTTCAATCTTTCCAAACGTGGAGAGATTGAGAGAAAAAAGAAACCAACAGATTTTTATATTTTCATAATATTAATTTTGTCCCTGTAAAATGATGCTCTAATATAGTGACAAAATATAAAAATGTTACTTTAATAATATAACATTAAACAAATTTTTTTTTCTTTTATCTTATGAAATCTAACCAAACAAGAAAGAGATAAATCACAATCATTTCTTTCATTTTATTTTTTATTTATCCAAACAAGAAGAAAAAAAATCACAATTATTTCATTTCTTTTCTTTTCTCTTATAACTTAGGTAATTATTTTTTTTTCTTTTCTCTCTTAGAATCCCAAACATAGTGTTAGGCTGTGTTTGGTTATGCTTTTAAAATGTGATTCCAATTCATTTTTTAATGCGGTGTTTGGTTTCGATTTTTAAAAGTTGATTCCAATGCGACATTTGAAAACTCAATCTTGACTGGTCATCCTTCGGACATTCTCTGGCTCGTTGTCTGACTGTTTGACCAAAACAATTTTTTTTTTTTTTTGTTTGTTTTTTTTTTTTTGCACCTGCTATATGATTGGAATTTTTAAAAAAAAATTATGATTTTTTACACCTGTTATTTTTTATATTTTAAATAAAAAATATTTTTGAATTTTTTTTAATTTTTATATGAGTTTTGAATAGAATTTTGGTTTGTGTGTTTAATTAAGAGTTGTAAATTTTTTGAATTAAATAACTTTTCTAATTTCAAAAACTCAAAACTCTTTCCAAAACTTAATTCAAAACTCATAAACTCAAAATACAACTATATTCTCAAATCATAATTCTAAAACTCTGTCAAACAATATAAAAATCAAAAGTTTTTTATAGATAAAAATTATTAACCAATAAAAATTTCAAAAAAAAATTAATTGAGTCATATTTTTATAAATTTTTATCAGTAAGAAACTTTTATTTAAAGATTTTATCAGTAAGAAATTTCAACTATTTGGTCCAATTAAAAATTCAATTAGAGAGGAATCAAATTCTTTGAAAAATTAATTTAGTTTGATTTTTGAGAACAATCGTGCTATATTCTACAAAAATCTCTCATAAATCACTCTCCTCTAACCGATAAGAGCCTATTTATTTATTCTGTAATACTAAACTCTTACCGGCCTGAATCTATAAAAGGACACTTTTGTAAAAGACTCTTGCAGGAGTAGATCATTTTCCTTTTGAGAAATTGTTTTAAATGAATATTTTTTTATTTTTAATAATTTTTTTGAATGTTGTAATTATTTTTTTTTAAATATGAAAAGTTCTTTAAAATAAGCAAAAATATAAGCAGATTTCTTTTTGAATATTTGTTTATTTGTAATATATTAGTCAACTCAGAGTTAGCCCTAGTTTAGAGTGAGTTTGGCATTAGTTTTTTAATAATTTTAAAAATTGGTCGTCTGAGAAGTTATTAAAAAAAAATTGTAAGTGGAAAATATTTTGGTTGTAAGTTTTTTATTTGATGTCAAATAATTTTTTATTTTTTGACTTATTTAGGATTGTTTTGAAAATTGATTATGTTAATTAGTTTTTTAATTTTTTACGAAATAATATACAAAAAGTAACGAGAAGATCTGACTTTGATGCTTTGATTTTTTAACTATTTAATTGATTGCCAAAATAAGCCTTTGGAGTTGTTTGGCAACCTACTTATGTAGTATATTTATTGTCTATTTTAATCAAATGAAATTTATTTATTTAGCTCATTCCAAACTATGCCTTAAAAATTCAAATGAATTTGGTCAGATTTTAGGAGAGTTTTACAAAGTGAAAAAATAATCAAAGAGTCGTAAATTCATTACTAAAAAATCAATTACTCTCTCTATTTTTTTATATGTCATATTGTAAAAAATTAAAAAATTAATTAAAACAATCAATTTCTAAACGAACTCTTAGATTTTGTTCAATATCAAGACTTTCATTATCTAAAGTAGTTCAATATGCTGACATTATACACTTAATAGTTGCTTACGTACAAAAGAATAATTATGATGATCATTATTTATTGTGTCCGTGGCTGAATTTTTCTTCTTTTTACAAAAATGAAAATCCTCTAAGAATTTCATGTCCATATGAAAACTGTTTTTTTTTCCATCGAAATTGTTGCAGGTAAACAGCAGGTGCTATATTAGAATGTAGAGTAGCATACTTCATGAAAAGCTCCAGTTAACGGATGGTGCAGTTATTGCTTCTCAATTACCAAATCTTCAAGAGGCTTTCGAGCTTTTCGATTGTGGAGGTCACATCGCAGCTAAACCTTCCACGAAATCAAAAGAAAACGTGGGAGACCCGTCAGTGTTTGAGGTCGTAATGACTGAAAGCTTGTTTTCTTGTTTCTGGTCTCGGTTGCAACTCTTGCTTTCTTTGCTTTTCTGTGTATAAATTGATTTTCAAGGTTCATCGAATTTATGCCGTGTTTGATATTTAAAAATGATTTGGAACCCCAGAATTTCCCTATCTCCGTACTTTCTGATAGTTTGATGGTGTTATTATTTCTGTTTGTTGAGTGATTAGTTAAAATGTTAAATGTTACAATGATTGAGGAAACATATATTTTAAGGACATATATGAGTTCATGGATCAGTTTGAATGCTTTGCCATAATCCTATATATATAGATGTTTAGTTTGGATTTGTTAATAATTTTTTTAATTTTTTACCAGTACAGAGGATATTTCAGGGAAATGGATCATTCTATTTTCAAGCATCACTCTCTTCTTGTTGACACATAATGAGTACAAATTTTATTACAACAACAGCAAGCAACATGATCGAGGACATTACACACCATATTTCTACTGGTTCAGTAGTTCATATCTAATGGTGAGTTTTTGTTTGGTACTAGGTTTTCAAACCAAGGGTGTGAAAAATCTCCAGTGTATAAACTGAGAAATTGGAATTTGTGTAAATAAAAAATCTCCCCAAACATCACCTCTAGATTGTCATTGTACCCACAATGTCTCAGCCCTATCCTTGTCATCCGGTGTGGAAAACCTATTCCACGAATTCAATGAAATCATTTTCCCTTTGTTTATCATCACATATTCCACTTCCAATCTTGCCTACACTTCACTGAAACACTGATTTCCAGGCCTTGGTTGGTCACTCAACAACCTATCTCCTTACGAGGATATAAAAATCCGGCTGCAAATGGAAAGGGTTCATTGCTTTCCAGGAACCAGTCCTCGGGCATCAGAATCACAACAATCTTGCCTTCAACAACACTACTGACAACCATTGAGGTACAACCCCCTGCTTCGTTCCAAGCAGTTTCACAGAGAATCATGCAATGTAAAGATAAAAACAAGGCAAAAATTAGAATGAAAACAGCAATTCGCTCTTATGTACCAGTAAGGTAACTTAAATGTGCTTTAGGACATCCTATATAATCGGTATAAAATTTTTCAGACTAATTTTACAGCACCAGCCTTTGTGGGTGGTGATCCTGTGAAGACGCATATACATTGTGCTTTAACTTGCTTGGAAACACATTAGACAATCACAAATTAAACGGTATAAACTTGTTGGTCTAGTCCGATATTTGGCCATGTCTAAACTAAATGACCAACTTAGGAATGACTATACATTATCTGCATAGTGATATTCTCAGAACAGAGACTACTATGGAGTGCATCCAAAATTAAAAGATTGAATTTATATAAATTTGGATTCTTGTAACCCGTGAATCAAAGACGAAGCAGCAGAGTTCTCAGCATCTTTAACTTTGGACCTCTCATCTCCTTCCGCAAATAACACGCACTCGACAGTTTCAACTTGAACTGAACATAAAAATTTCCTCTCATGAGAAGGGCCCTCTTCTTTCACTATCCTGCAAGCAAAGGCAAAATAATACCAAGAATAAAATTTTATTGCATGCAAGAGAAAGATGGCAAAATACTGAGTATTCAAAAATTGTGTCCTTTCAAAACCCCAAACATTTAACAATCAATTCATGAACATTAGTTCAAACCCAAAAAAAAAAAAAAAAAAAAGGTAAATGTAACACTACACTATCCTCTTATAATGGTTTGTTTTAACACGCATGAACCCTCGTACTTTTAAAACCATATTAGAAGAGATTATAAAGCTGAGCTGCCAGTTCCCAGCCGATTCACACACCTCCGGAAATAAATATCACTCTTCAAACCAAAAAACATCTCGTGAATTTGATGATATTGAGACAACTTGGGCAGCCGATAAAGACTCTTTAATACTTTATGACAACTTGGCCAGCCGATAAATCTCAAAGAATAATCCATGAAACCTAACTCGTTTTCCACAAGAATTTGATCATTGTTTTATTGTATTGCAATGAGTCTCTGGGTCACCTTCGAACAATACATGCTAGTACTGTTTCGTACTTTAAACCAAGATTGTGATGATTCTAAAATCTCCACAAGACATGAGCTTCACACACAGTTCTAGCAATCAAGATACGCATTTATAATTGACACCCTTAACCAATGCAAAACAAGCTTAGCAACGGATCGGTCATCTGAAGCATTTTCAAGATAGTCATACTCAAAAGATAGCAACTTACTACGCAGACAATAAACCTAGGAATAGTCATACTCAAAACTATTAATACATTAAAGCAATCCAATCACATAATAGTCCATTAATAGCTTGTTTTGTTAAACAAAGAAAAGACAAAGCTCAATGGAGACATGATAACAAGAGGAGACTTCAGCCCCTGACATCAAGGTTGAGGAACCAAGTACCTGTCCAATTATTTATAATTCGGTTGGTAATGTGTCTATTATGGTTGATACAATCCCATTAAAATATTACTAGCCAACAAATCATATATACATATATTAAATCTTCATTTTTCAACCATGCAACAGCCTCTGAAGTTTGGATAATGATTTCACTGTTAAAGTCGCATAATTTTAAAAATCCACACCCAAACCACATGAGAAGTTGGAAGAAATTTAGCTCAGTAAAGACAAATTCTTACCGGTAAGTGGGTTTTGGCCATCTCTTCTTGCCACAAATATCATGCAACTTTTGTTTTGCTCCTTCAATCTCATTGGTTAAATTCATACTGCTGTAGACGTCAACATTCATTTTGTCCTCGTTGTTAGAGTGAGACAACTTCTCCAAAGCTGTCTTTGCTGCATGAAGCCTGACATTTTCATTCTGCTCAGAGGACGATGAGGCAATAAATTCCCCGTCCACGTAAACGATGGCGATGTTCTTCTCCCCTCTTCTCCAGTGCTTGATATCCACTTGCTTACCCTCTTTTTGACAAAAGTCAAAAAGCATGGTCACGGGCTGTGGTTGTTGCTGGAGAACATCAAGCGTAACAATAGGCTCCAATATACCTCTAAAGATCTATAATACATGAAAAAAACTATGTCATGAAAATTCTTTTTAAAAAAAAACTACATGTCAAATCTTAGTTTTATGTTGGGAAGTTCATTGCAAATACTAGTTACTTTGAGACACCACAGTTGCCCAAATTAGGATAGAACCTAGTAAATTTCTATACTCCAACTTTTTATTTCAGGATTCTAATGAAATCTACGTGAAATAGACAGCTCACTACAAGAAAAATCATTTTTGGCAACTAAATTTTTAGTCGCCAAAAGTCCGCTTTTAGTTGCCGAAAGTCGAGTTTTTACTTTCAGCGACTAATTTTTTTAGTCGCCCCTTTTGTCGCGCGTACGTGGTCGCAAGAGGTATCGGCGACTAAACTGTTTTTAGTCAGCAAAAAAGAGCTCTTTAGCGACCAACTGTTTAGTCGCCATTGGTGCATTACACTTATAGCGATCCCGGGTTTACCCTTGTTGTACAGTGATCCGGACATGTGTCCGTGGATGTTGGTAGTTGTTTAGTATCGTGTTTGCATCCTTTTTACTTTGTATATTGAGTTATAGGATGTGTTGGGCAGGTTTGTTACAGGTTGTTTGTGTTTGGGAGCCTAGTGTTGCTGCCCAGATTTTTGGACCTTCGCTCGAGCGAGGAGTTGGTCGCTCGAGCGAGAGTTGAGTTCGTGTCTGGTGGGTCGAGCCAGAGTGGCTTCGCTCGAGCGAGCGTTTGCACCTGGTTCTGGACCTGAGAGTTGCATTTCTTGGCTCGAGCGAGCTTTCTTCGCTCCAGCGGTCTGGTTTGTTCTTCGCTCGAGCGAGGAGTTGGTCGCTCGAGCGAGAGTTGAGTTCGTGTCTGGTGGATCGAGCCAGAATGGCTTCGCTCGAGCGAGCGATTGCGTCTGGTTCTGGACCTGAGAGTTGCATTTCTTGGCTCGAGCGAGTTTTCTTCGCTCGAGCGGTCTGGCTTGTTCTTCGCTCGAGCGAGAAGTCTGTCGCTCGAGCGTGCTTCTGGTTGCAGACCTGAGGGTTTGAGTT